CCATGCTGGTGGATTTAGAGTACAGCTTGTGTGTAAAGTGGGGGAGAATTATGTTTGACGTAGGTATGAACATTAAATACGATATTTATAAAACAAAATAAGACAGAGATTTATTTTAATTAATTAAGCTGTTTAACTATACTGTTTAATTTCTTATCTTTTAGATAAAAATATTAACAACTCTATTTAACGATGGTTTTCATTTTAAATGGTCGTGCCTTAAGTGCAGAGCAATGACCTCTTCTCAAAGAACGCCAAGGGCCGAGAACTCTTTAGTGGCTTTTCTTAAAGGAAAAATAATCTCCGCATTGAAATAACTTGGATTTTATATAACACCATAGTGTTTTAAATAAATTTAAAGCGTGCTGTGAATAGGAAATTTAAACGTTTAATTCATTCTGCATGACTTTTACTGCCTGCACTAATAATGAACAAAGGTGGGCGGATTGTGAGGTAGGATGCTTTGTATTTAGAAAGACTATAATTAATGAGTGCTATTTGTCAAATAACTATTAATTATTCCATATTACCCATTGATCTTCGTAGCGATGTTTCCATGACTCGTCGAATGCACTGATATATTCTCTCTCCTTACTCAGAATACATGCCATCGTACTAAAGGATTAATGGTTGTTTTTCCCGTTTGTCTTGATATATCATGTTGCGAAGAGTTGTTTTTATAAGTAACGTTACCTAAAAAGTTATGTTTTTCGTAAGACCAATGAAAAAATGTAGGTTCAGTAAATGTTTTAATTAATTTATTTGTTCTGGTTGGCCAATTAGCAGAATTCCAACGTCTTTATTTTTGTGTGAAGTTATAAATCATTAACGAATTAACGAAAGCGTAAAATATTAAAAAAAGAGAGTTTTCTAACGAAATTAAGTCGAGTAATTAGTTTGATGTTACGAAACTGCTTCTAGGATCCTATTTTGCAATATTTTCTTAGTTACTTAACGAAGGTATGGTTATCTTGAAAATATGCTTTTCATAAGCTACGTAAAAACGAAAAAACTTACTGCCAAAATGTCCTTTTATTAATTTATGCAGTGCTAATGTTACAAATTATCACATCTGTTTTCATTATTCAACCACATTTTGATAGTGAAAAATATTTTTTTTTCGTTCATTTATTTATACAAAAAACAAAACTAAAATAAAATATCGTCAGAAAAGCAATCAGCCTTTTCAAAATCTATGAAGAGTTTAATATGCATGTTAAATTTCATTTTAATCAAATAAATGAAGACAATTTTCAAAGAGAATAAAACCATTTATACATCCCTTTTTTATTACGATAATCAACTTCAAAGTTACATTATTTTATTAAAATGTAAGTAATAAATGCAAGCTAGATTTCTATGTACATTTTCATGTACATATTATATAATATAGTTTGTCATTTCTTTATACATAACTAAAACTGTTTTTCACACAGAAATGGTTTTCTATCAAAGAGTTTCATACGAGATATTTTATATTAAATTTTTGGAATATAAGTGATTCTGGCATATCAATATCACATTCAGCACTCAAAGCAGAGGTCAGATACGATTTTTATAATAATTTGAAACCTTTTATATCGAATAAAAAAAAAATTCATTCTATCTGCATCGCATTTTCAATCATTTTCTAAGAATTCATTAAAAATTAAGCTAAAAATATGAATAAAATAATTAAATCCTAATTCATTTAATAAATTAAAATACACATAACCTCATAAAACAGTGGTTAAAAAGGAGTTTAATTTACATAATTGTTCTTTCTTTAAATATGAACAAAGCACGAACGAATAAAACCGAGAGCATTGGAAATTCCTGAACGGAGTAATTAAACTTCTGACAAGTTACACTTATTTAAATTTGAAATGTATTTTATTTATAATATGCAGTATTACTATGGAGCTTTGTTAAAAAGTAAAAAGATAATCTTTAGATGTTTTACATGTTGGATTAAAAAGTGCTATAATTAGTTCTCTCGTTTTCCGAGTAAGGTAGTAGGTACTAGCATAAAGCAGAAATTTCACACACGCTGCTAGTATGTTATTCTTGCCACAACTATGCTCATTAATTTAAAAATAAAGATTTGTGAAACATCATGTTGTTTTTAACTCTCTATTTATATCTGGTTATAATTCAACGACAAAAATATTCGGTAATCGGAAATAAAGCAAATTGTATAACGAAACGTGAATACGAAATATGAGATATGAAATTTAACAAAACAAACGTCAAATCAAAGACAATGAAGCTCTGATTGCGGGGGAAAATAAAAATATAAAAATAATTGTATGTTAGGTATAACCAGAGATAATATTTTAATTTTATTTACACCATATCGAATTTATTCAAGCTCAAACGTAATTCAGAGAGTCCAATACAACAATTTTAATTAACGGTCGAATGAAAAACGGTCCTCCTTTGTTGATTGTGATGAAAAAAATTTTTATCCCGCTGACTGTATTGGATTATTCCCTAGGGCGTTTTATTATTTCTTTTTAATACATTAAATATGACCCACTAATTGTATTTAGCGTATGATACGGTCTTGTTTGTTCATTAATAGAAAAAACAAGAGGATCAAATTTATCACTCATTGTTTTAGAATGATAATTTGATAATAAAGAAGGGACGATCACAAATATTTGTCCAAGAAAAATAAGTAATAATTTCGTTAAATAGAATGATAATATAAATTGTTATTAAATATTAAAACATCTGCTATTTTTCTTGTAAATATATTAAATAAATATTTAGCAAAAAAAAAAATACTTTTAGTTTATTCTTTATAATAATTGTATGTTAAGAACTTAATGTAATTATGCTCTTTAATGACACAGCCTTTCTATAAGTATGGCTTATTATAAATAATTTATGTATTGTACGGCTTCAGATTACCATTTCCAATGCTAATAATATTATTTATAATTTTTTTTGTATCTATTCGTTGATTAGCAATACCTACGAACTACTCCGAATACTTATTTAATGAAATCCTATTGAACTGAAAACATAGTTATTTATCAAAAATGTGAATATTATTTAATATTTTCATAGAATTAAATAACAAATGTAATAAGTTGGCTTCGTTCTGTTCATCATTGTTTTTATAATTTATTTAAATTTCATAATTATATTAATTTTGCGGCCTCATCTGCGTTTTATTTACAATTTTAATAGATTTTATAATGTATATGGCATTTATGTGAATAAAAAAGTCAGTGGTGGCCTAGTGGTTAACGGCCCGCTTCTCGTGTACGAGGGCGCGGGTTCGGTCCTGGCGAGTAGCAGTGTGATTTTTCCGAGTCCGAGTATTTAGACACCACTGACAGACGGTGATGGAAAACATCGTGAGGAAACCTGGACTTATAATTTCACAATTATAAGTTTGAAATCACCAACACGTCTTGAGCAAGCGTGGTGATTAATGCTCAAACCTTCTCCATGTGAGAAGATGCCTTCGCTCAGCAGTGGGCTCTGATAGGCCAATGATGACGATTAATGTTAATTGTTAATAAATTATAATAATATACATATAATACTGCTATACTTAGGAAAAACCAAATTAAAAACTAAACTACTACAAAGATAATTACGTTTAAAGAATGCGAAAATGAAGCGACAAGAGAAGTTTGATAATGCGATGTCCACAAACGTCGACGCTTCGTATAAAAAATACTTAAAAGTTAAAAATAAAATGTAAGAAAACCTTTTTTTAAAAGAGCTTTTATTTTGTTACTAAAATAAAGAGAAAAGTTAAAAATAAATTACCTGTAATAAGAAATATAACACTTTATTAGTTGATTATAACCTTTAGCTGTAATTAAGGTTCTTCGACTACGGTGAAATAATTGCTTATCGTAAATAATTAATTATATATTTTAAAAGTATAACCTTACACTTTAAATATTTAAACCACCCGATACTATCACAATTTATTTTATAAATAAACATGTGTATCTTTATATATAAAAAGGCGTGTGAGTTACACTATTTATAACACAAAAGACTGTAAAGTTTTGAATGAAAATTGGTGGAGAGATGGTTTGGAACAAGGGAAAGGACATAGGATACTTTTCATCCAATTGAAAAATATAAGTTGATCCAAAATCTTCTTATCTACTATCTTTATAAAGGAGTAAAGTTGTCCCTGTCTTATTTTGAAATTAACGCAGACGAAGTCGGGGGCAAAAACTAGTTATAAATAAAATTTTAAACTGTATATTTCAAATGTTTTTTATTTTATTTTTGATTAAAAAACAGATGATACCGTGTAATTACATTATTTACCTGCCAATAAATTGCCGTGTATGCGGTTATTTGAAACAAATGTACCGAATTTGATTTTAATTAGAAAGCGCTTTGAATTTCTAATTAATACTATTTATCTAAAATTATGACCGTATCATTCGTGACTGTTTCAATTTTCGACCATGAATATTCTGATTAATTAATTAATAATTATAACAGATATTCTCATATATATTTGTTGTGTAAGTATAACAAAACGAGATACTGAATATTGTATTAAACCAAATCTATTAGAAAGGCTAAATGAAATTGTACTGTATAAGAACACTTTTTCAACTAATGGGCAAAGTGAAACTTAAATAAGAAAGTTTCTTTAATAAAATAGTATATAGAGAAGGGCTCATATGCTTTAACACAATGTCTGCAATTGTAATTCTAGTTAAAATATTTCAGAATTTTTAAATATTTTTTTAATTTAAGTTCTAAATGAAACTAATGTTTTTCGTAATTCGTGGTTTTGCATTATTATGTTTGTAAAAAAGTAAACGAAACGTCAGTACTATGTAGTTTTTAAATTAAAAAAAAACTCGTAGTATCATCCAAAAAATATTAGTTTCATTTAAATGCATAGTCGCGAAAGTCTTTAGACCCATAACAAAAAGTCTTCACTTATGTTGAAAACAATCTACATATATTTCGAGCCAGTACTATTCGTAGCTTAGAAATCTATACTTGTGTTTAATTATTTCCAGGTGTCAACTCGCACTGGTATCGTCTCCCACTACGTTCGTCTTCAGATAGTGGTCCCTGAAGCCTTCATCTTGGGCTCCGGTGAGCATCATGTGGATCTTGGCAGCGTCATACATCTCATTTGTATTGTTGAGAAGGTAACAATTATTACCAATATTATTACTTCTTTAAGCTTGATACTAAACGTGACTCGATCAAGGGTATATAGAAGTAAAATGCTTTTCGAAATATTCCAAATAGACAAGCAGAAAATTTACAAAATAATAAAACTATTTGTATTTTAATCTAATAAAAGACTTAATTTTATTAGATTTCGTAAAATATATAACAAAAAAAAAACAAATTAAATCCCAATCGTACTCAATTAACTTCGAAAAATTCCTTTATTACTCTCGTAACTTGAATATAGTTTTAAAATTCGCGATTTGATTTATTAATCAAAATATTTCGTGATTATTATTTACGATATATGAAAATTTTAAATCATATCACATTTGAATGTATAGTACTGAATTCGGTAAAGCATTTCTAATCTAAACGTAGATATTAAAAGCAAAAAGTTAGAAAGACTTATCAGATATATATTACTAGTTGATTAAAATACCTTTTGAATGTTCGCGAGTTTACATAATCCTGACTTAATCTGGTATCGGATATGTTTATTATCTATTCACCCTCAATCGGATTTCGAAGCCGATGAGCGAGGATGATACCATTTATAGAAGGAATGTTATATCCTATAATAGACTGTACATAACTACAGATATTTTAATCACAGTTTGCTCATTACGGCTCATTGATTTGAGAGGTAGAGTAAAGATTTGCGTTTAATTGATTTTATTAACACTTTCATTAACTTTTAAGTTTGTTTAATAAGTCTATATCAAGAAAGAAAACGCTTTTGGAAACTAGATAAGTTTAAGAACAAATCTTTACAGTATTAAGAAAAATAAAAAGTCATATAATACGGTTTATTTCACAGTATTTAAAACCTTCGTTCGTAGGTCATATTTCGAATAATTGTTTATTTTGGCTTACTCCTTCGGATTACTCTACATAAAACATTAGAATAGAAGTGTCCAAACTTTTATGGTTCTGATTGGTCCTTTACTGTTAGATTTAGTAACAAACAAAAAACTACATTAAAAGTGAACACTATGATAAACAATACAATACTACTAATAAAGCGAGCAAAACGAATTTTTCACTTTAATATGTACTCAAATTATATCTATCTCTATTTTAACGTCAAGTTCAAACATTAATTTTGAATGTATATTAACATAAGATTGTAATTTCTCTTCATTACAGAGCCCAACACCTCCTCAATACGTATTCTGGTATCACAACGACCGTATGATCAACTACGATGCAACGAGAGGCGGGATAACTGTGGAGACAGAACCGGGAGCTAGAACACAGTCAAGATTAACTGTGAGAGGGGCAACACTGAAGGATTCCGGGAATTATACATGCAGCGCTAGCAACACTGAACCAGCTTCCATACACGTCTTCGTATCTGAAGGCAGTAAGTGTTTTATTCACTGATATTTAGAGCTTTTAATGAAAATTGGTTTCAATCATTATGTTCAGAAATTATTGTCATATAAGAAACTAGCGACCCGGCCCGACTTCGCAGGGGTGCAATGCTAATGCTAAATACATTACATAAAAACTGTGGACATTATAATGGATGTTATTATACATGTAGCGGCTTCGCACGGGCACTAAACATGACATTTACACAAATATTCACAATTTTTTGCGTCAAATAAAAAAAATAGGAAATTTAATTCTTAGATATTACTATGTAGAAGACCCGGCGAACTTCGTATCGCCCTATAATCAAGAAATATCTGTTACGTTTTTTAATTATATTTTTGGAGTTCACCTATTAAAGCCATAAATCTCCGTGTTTTGAAGTGCGACAGAATGATTGACATAAGTTAGTTGTCAAATCTAAAGTTAAAAAAAACGTTTGTATCAACAACTACTAATAAATTAAAAAATTAATTAAAAAACATTGTCCAGCGGACAAAATTGTGAATCTAAACCATTCCCAGATCCCCTTGAACACACACAAAAAATTTCATCAAAATCGGTCCAGTCTTTTGGGAGAAGTTCAGTGACATACACACTCACAGAAGAATTATATATACATATATATATAAGATATATATAAGATAGTACAAATCTGAGTCTTTCAGCTATACTTCTGCCTTTTAACTATGGGTTAATTTAAATTAATTTGATTCCAGGTAACAAAATGGCGGCCATACTTCGTCGTAACACTAGCGCCATCCACGGGATCACCTCCAGCATCACCTGCCTCCTATTATTCTTCTCAGTCGTCATCCACGTGGCCTTCCGATGACGTCACTGTAATATAGGCTCTATCGCCAATAATATACGATTTAATTTTAAATAAATTTCGCTGCATAGAATAATAAGTAGATGCCAAACAGTTATTGATGGAATGAATTTAGTTGTACGGCCTGTTTCATAATATTAAATTTGTTTTAATTTTTATTTTGTCATAAATGTTTTCATTAATCCCATAAATTAGGGTTATAGGTACAGATAGTTAAGATATGTTAAGAAAGAAAAAAAAACATTGACATTAATAACCTTATTTATAAAGTTTGAAATATTTAATTAGTAGAATAAAATATTGTTTCGTTCGAAGAATTTAAATAGTTATAATAAAATATATCAACTAAAACTGTACATTAAATAATAAAAAGTAGTTAAACGCACTTAATTAATACTCGAATTTATACTATAGTAAAGAAATATATATTATATGAATACTGTAGAAGAATTTTTGATGTCACCGCTTCATGTACTATCGACATTTTTTAATTATCTCTTGAGAAACATCGATGAAATATGATTTTCAATACAAATTATTTGCTAATGCAACACCATTAAAAAAGTTTTTTTAGCTGTGTATTGTCATAATTAAGAATTATAGAAAAATAAAAAAGTTTTGTTGAAGTAATAATGTGAACACGATATTAGAAAATATTTCAAAATGCTCAAATTGGTAAAATTTCATAACAAAGCTATAGAATTTATTTGTAAATATAACACATATGTAGTAGATAGTGCAATTGTTTTCAGTATTAATTTAATTCAAAATGCCGTCAATTAAATATCGGTTTTCTTTCAAAAACTAGTAACTTTTCTATAGATTATATCAACAAAAGTAATTCTGAACATTTTAATTTTTATATCTTAATAAAATTAGAATCATATTGACATTTGATGTATCGTACTTTATGTAAGAATATAAGGTTTAATATAATATATAAATTCTCAGGAATTAAAAAATAGTATTATTCTATAAATATTAATTCAATTCTGTCAACTTGGCTCTAACAATATGTCAACAACAGAGTTTAAAACTTTATAATTTATCTAATAAATAATTATATATTAATAATAGATTCCATTTAAGCTTAAAAGTATCTTTACGTCATGTTGACAAAATTGAATACTAACCACGGTGTTGTTTTTACCGGTTCTGGTAAAAACAAAATATAGATTTAACCATCTAAAGTATACTTGAAAATTAAGATAATTCTATGTTCTGTAAATATACACTAACAAAAAATAGTTCTAGATATAATAGGTATTGTAAATATTTGTCAGTGTTATTTAATTACTGTACAAACAATTTTGGTGATCCTTATGCAATAAATACTTCTTCGGAATTGTTTTTTTATTTCACGCTGTCATATTTTTAAGCATTTTCCTTTTTTTATAGGTCGTTTTATCTACTAAATCTGAAGAAATGGTTAACTTGTACATATGCGATTTACATGTATATTTGTAAGTTTTTCACCATGGTCGGAAGTCCCAGGCACTGTTGAAGCTCCTCTCCCTGCAACGATGGACCCGGCACCCGCACGGTGAATCCATGGAATGATGAGAGGTTTCGACTTTTATTCCTGAACCCAAATCAGTCTATTTTCCATTTATTAAAAGATAGAGTAGTATCAAGACCGAGCATCAAATTACTTACTGTAACCGCCATAAATACTAGTAGTTTAGTACAAGTTACGACACCATCAGTAGAAGGTTTGTTTCAAATTCTTAACAGGAATACATTACATTATAAATAAACCAAATAATTTAGGAAACAATTTTATTACTCTTATCCATATAAATAAAATATTCACACCATCAACAATCCAATTTAAAACATTTAATACCTTTTTACACCACCTTTTCCTTTTTTTATAGCATATTTATATATTGTACTAAATTATTAAAGCTAAAAACTTTCTGTTTTTTCATTGCTCTATGTATAAATACTCTGTGTATAAATTGCTCTATATTTTTCTAGTGATTGTCTATAATTTATTTGTTATTTAGTGTTCTTTTATAGAGATCGAGAATTCTCTGAATCTTGGTCTTGTTGTTTGATGAGGTTCCAATAGTGTCCTTTCAGCTTCTTCAACTGGTCGTGTGAACCCATCTGATATACAAAAAAAATACATACATATATTTAATGAAAAAATTATTCTGGATATTTAAAAAAATATCTATAGTTTTCTGTGGTGACTGAAATTTCGTCAAACACAATGTAATATGATGATCAAACAAATTTTATTTAAGAATGTAAGCTATTTAAGTACAAAGAAATTTTTAATCGTAAGGCTTGGTTGGAAAAAACATACAAAAGGTACTACATAAATATCAAAATCTGTTGCTCTTTCACGAAAATGTTACAGAGCGGACTTTGATGAAACTTCATAGTAATGTAGTTGACACATTAATTCCGTTTTTCCGCGGTATCACGATATAATAGTTGTATTTTATATAAAGTCCCACAGAGCATAGATGGCGCTGTCTTTATTATATAATTTTTTTAGGCCTTAATACCCTTTATATGATTCTTAGATATAATTCTTGGAACAGAAATTCCAATTCACACGAACGAAGACGCGGTCAAAAGCTAGTCTGTTCTAGTCTGTACAAATAAAATGTTATTATAATATTCATATATATGTACCTCAACTATCTGTCCCTTGTTGAGCACCACTATGAGGTCCGCGGATCTAACAGTTGAGAGGCGGTGAGCTATCACAAGCACTGTTCTGCCGACCGAGGCTCGCTCCAACGCTGCCTGGACTATCTGCTCGCTGGCTCCGTCAAGGGCGCTGCGGATTACATTATTAATATATCATTATTAAGTTCCCTAGAACACTAGTTTACAACTGTTAAATAGATAGATAATATGGCATGTACACAAGTAGATTGTATTTCGTACGAGCGACATTAAAAAATAATTGAACCTCGTTGTAAGGATAAAAATAATATAATGAGTGATGCAGTCAGTGGTGGCCTAATGGTTAGAGGGCCCGCCTCTGGTTGCCGAGGGCGCGGTTTCGATCCTGGCCCGGGCAAGTACCAATGTGATTTTTCTGAGTCATAAATACTTTCTAGGAGTATTTAGACATCACTGATTAATGCTAATTCCCAAAAGAGGGTTGATGTCAGGCAGGCGGCCGGTTGCAAAAAAAAACAATTAGCCAAAAAACTATTCACCACATGTAAGGCAGACCCTGGCTATAGCCGGGGAATTGCCAGGTAGAAGAAGAAAAAGATAATGAGTGACGCTGCTGACTCCGCGGAATAAACATCAAGCCGTATGAACCAGAAGATTACCGATACCACACAAACTGTGGAATGGTATCGCTGTCCTAACATAGTTACTCCACTTGTGATGGTTTTGTTTTTGTTATTATTGGACCGCTGTCAGTCAATGGTGAAATAAGACGAATGATTATATTTCAGTGTATATGAAGCTTTTTAAACCGGTCTCTACTATACTGATGAGTGACGAGTATAAATAAGACTGATTGTCATCTTTTCGTAAAATTTGGATTTATTTTTACAGTTTTCACAGGATCTATAAATGTGATAGAAATTTAAATAGACTATGACAATTAACTTAATAAGACAAATAAGAAATAACATCAGAGGATTAAATGACGAGAATTTTTTTTTTATATTTTAAATCCCACAATTTATTTTATCATAATCCTACATTATGATAAAAAAATCTGAATTTATATTTTTTACATTCATTTTATGATGAAAAAAATTATGAAAAATAATGTATCTCTGGCGTGCACACCATAGATGCAAATAAGCACTGCATACCCTATCCATACAACAACTAAACCTTTATTGTTTAATTTTTACTTAAGTACATACTTTTAACTATAAATTTCGCAATACGAATGTTTACATATATTTAAAATGTCATTAGTTTCATGATTAAGAGGATAGAGGAGAAGATTGCTATATTTTTTCCAAATATATATTCTGCTTACACTACCCATAATCTCTGTGGTCGCACAAATTTATTAATAATGCCCAATAGGAGCAGACAATGTGACTAATCAATTTATCACGTTGCCTGGGCATTATAAATAATGCCCAGTAGCTATTACTTTCAAATTAATACTTTGTTAGATAAGATAAACTAAGATAACCTACTGTGTTTGTTTCCAGCCCCTTACTACACCGGACCGTAAAAATTTACCTATTAATCACATTGCCCGATCATCATGTGGCCATATTCATAATGGCCGGGCAATGTGATAAATATATTAGATGAGTTTAGATTATAATTAATCACGTGGCCCAATATGGCCGGGCATAATTCATCTTGCCCGAGCATTATGAATACTGCGTGTATTAATCACTTGGCAAATAACATATACAGGGTGACTGGTGAATTACTATCGATACTTGAGGACGTGATATTTGACGATCATATATGACAAAAAAAAAATAATATAACATAAATATTAATAAACTTCTAAGTAAAGTTAACCAAAAGTTATGTAATTAATTTCGCATCGTGTGAACACGCCGCCGCACGCGTCCACACTTGGAACACTTGGAACGTGTCCGCACTTTATTTATTTATACGGAAATTTGGTCAAAAATTAAGTACCTATTTTTTTACATAATTCGAATGAGAATCATATACCGAGTATTCTCCTTAAATATTGATAGTAATTCACCAGTCACCCTGTATATTACATATACATTTAGTCAGTGGTAACCTAGCGGTTAACAGGTCCGCCTCTCATTCACGAGGGCGCGGGTTCGATCCTAGCCCTAGCAAGTACCAATGTGATTTTTGCGAGTCATATGTACTTTCTAAGAATATTTAGACATCACTGATTAATGCATTCCCAAAGAGCGTTGATGTCAGACCGGTCGTAAAAACAATTAGCCAAAACTATTCACAACATGTAAGGCAGATTCTGGCTAAAAGCTGGGAAATTGCCAGGTAGAATATATAACATACCTCGTAGCTTCGTCTAATATCATGACGGGAGGGTTTTTCAGTACAGCCCTCGCTATAGCGATCCTTTGTTTCTGTCCTCCACTGAGCGACATGCCTCTCTCACCAACCATAGTATTGTATCCGTCGGGGAAGTTACGAATGAATCCATCAGCGTTCGCTGTTATTGCCGCTTGGTATACCTAAAATATATTAAATTATTGATTAGAGTAAAACTGTAGAAGCAAAATATATACCAATAATGATTATATGCTAGTAGTGTTGGGCAGATTTTAATTTTTTGTACATTAACACTTAATTATTAAAACTTATTAGTATTTATGATTATTGTTAAAAGTAAAACGAAATCAAAGATTGTTTAAAAGGAGAAAAGAACTGTTTAAATCTGGGTATAAATATGACGTCTGGACGCACGATTGCAGAATTCAGAGTTCAGTGAGTGTGGACCATTGAAAACTGTGATTATGAAGAACCTTCGATAAATACAAGGAAATTTTGAATAATTTCATTTTAAGTTTCATTTTAAAATATTATGGAACGTACTAAAAGAAGTGACATTTGTAACGTCAGCGAGGCTGGCGTCTCTCTCTTTTAAAACAACGAAATCATAATAAATCTGATATATACAAGTCGTAAACTTTTATATTTCTAGAACGTTCTACCTCATCGTCTGAGGCGTCAGGTCGTCCGTATCGTATGTTCTCCATCACGTTAGTAGCGAACAACACCGGCTCTTGACTTATGAGACCCAGCGCCCTCCCGCGGAGCCAGCGAGCGTCCATCTCTTTGACATCCACACCGTCTATAGTTACAGAGCCTTGGCTCACGTCGTAGAACCTGTAGTATAACATTAGAAGAATTATACAAAATACTGAAGCAATCACACCGTCTATAGTCACGGAGCCTTAAGTCACGTCGTAGACCCTGTAGTGTGTAGTGTAACAACATTAGAGGAAACATATGAAATACTGAAACTATTTTTTGGTTACGAAATATATCAAAGAAGATTAGGGAAATACGTGTCCAATATTAATGTAAATAAAATTATTATACATTAGATAAAAGTAATTGATTGTAATGCTAGAAATGCTGGAAGTCTGACCAACTAAAAATCCTCGGAAATATTATAGATACATAAAGATATGTATTTACAGCGATGGTCAGTAAGAGTTTCGTTGAGAAATAAAGTACAACAATTACAATAATGAACTAATGAATGAATGAATTGATAATAAATGTGGAAAGACAATTCTCTTCTCATACACTTCATAAAATTATATGAATTGATAAATATATGATGATGGAAGTCAATGATTTATGAGAATTACTTGATGACCGATTGCTAACTAAATTATATACTAAGTTATTATAATTTTGCAATGACACAAGTATTAAGATACATGCATTTACATGATTTTGTAATTATAGCTACGTAACTTGGAATGAATGAATGAATGAATAAACGAATGAATCTTTAGACTCCCTCTCACATCTGTATACCTTTCTAATAGAGCAGCTATAGTAGATTTCCCATTCCCAGACGTGCCGACGATAGCGACGGTTTTACCTGCTGGTATCTTCAGATTGAAGTTTCTTAAGATAACCTGGAATGATACATTATGTATTCACATGAAAACTGTATAATTATAGTTTTATAATTATTTCTTAATCACAAACAAGAGGGGCAATGTAAATTTTATATTTTAATTCTTAATTAATTCCTTCTAAGGGATACACCAGACGTATACACTCAATAACATATTTTTTATTTACAAAAGAATTTTAAAACATCACAATACTATCAGTAAAAGTAGTAACGTTACTACTTTACGTAATTAAAATAGTGCAAGAAGTGCTCGAAATTTTCCTCAATTTTCAAAGTACATTTTTTTCCAATATCATATTATCTTCTCTTCATATTATCGTTTACAGCATAAAGCCTCTAATAGAACGCTATATGCCTGAAAGAATTTATCAATTCATCCAATAGTTCCTGTGATTAGTGTATTCAAACAAACAATTCAGCTTTATAATATTTAGTATAAATAAGTATATAAAGTAATAAACACATCACCGCTTCTGGTCTCGTCGGATATGAGAACGTAACATCTTTGAACTCAATGTCTCCATGGAACTCGTGGTATTTGATGATTCTTTTGCCAGACGTGTCCATTAATGGCTCTTTATTAATATACTGAAACATATACATAATATAATGTTTTTATATAAATCTATAACAAAATCCAATTTTCCTATTCTATAAAATGTTTTACTAAACTAAAAAAAAATAAAGTTGACTATATAATCATAATGTATTCTGTAAATAGTTTAAGATAAAATTTATGACTTAACTAAACTGGTTCTGCTTAAAATTATGATCATACTAAGTTGAACCAGTTTAATTAATCCTACTAATATTATAATTGCGAAAGTTTGTGAGTGTGTATATTTGTTACTTCTTCACGCTCAAACGGCTAAACCGATTTTGATAAAATTTTGTATACAGGAAGCTGACGTCCAGGAATAACACATAGGCTACTTAACAACCCGGAAATTCGCGGGTAACACCGCGGGGCGCAGCTAGTAATGAAAGAAATGTATACCTCAAAAACTCTTCCTCCAGCGCTAAGACCTTTCACAACTGAACCGAACAATAATGATAGTTGCGCTACAGATCTTTGTACTGTTTGTGCGTTCACAAGGAACGCCATGACGTCACCAGCAGACATCTGACCGGTTGACATGAGGTGGCCTCCGAGAAACATGGTCGCTAACACCATACTGAAATACAATGAACACAAGCTTATATGGGAAAAAAATATTCTTTGAAAGACAATAAAATATAACACAATAAACAAAAAACACCCAGTAAACATCTCGGCATAGGACTATAGTAGAGCAAAAAATACTGGTATGGCCTTAATAGGTTGGTTATTTGGAAATATGTGAAAAAAAATTATATATAAGATAATAATGCTGTTCAATGAGGCAAAGGCAAAATGCAGTTACTACAGCTCGAACATGGGCTGGCTCGACCGGGGAAGTACCACCATCTCACAGAAGATCGGCGTGAAGTAGTCTTTATGGCTGCGTTTCATCCGATGAGTGAGACAGCCGGTTGCCCTTTTCCTATTTCCTACCCTTTCCTATCATTTCCTTATTCCCACCCCTCCCTATCCTTAAAAAACAAGGTTGGCAACGCATCCGCAACAAAGATGTTGCGGATGTCCATGCGCGACGGTAACCACCTTCGATCAAGTGGGCCGTCTGCTCGTTTGCCAGCTTTCACATGAAAAAAAAAAGAAAAATCTAAGATGTAAGGAAAATTTCAAATAGATTTTATAATTATTACTTACCCATTAAGGAACAAGTTGGTCCCAGCTTGGAACAACCCAACTCCAAGTCCCAGTTCCATACTAAGTTCAGCGGCAGCATTACATTCATCTCTAAACATCCTGGCTTCATTCTCCTCACCAGCAAATGCTCTTACAGTTTTTATATTGGAGATCGCTTCTTCAGCCACTAATGTCGTTTTTTCTATCTGTATTAAAATAATTGTTATATATCTATTAAAATAAGTATATGTTTTCACATAATAATTTTTCATAAGTATTCACCAATTTCACACCAGGATATATTTACTTATTTACTTTCTACATGGATTTTTGGAAGAAACTGAGTTTATGCAATCATGAATTGTTAATTTCACTAAATAATTCGATAAAAACAACTTCACTATCAACTAATTTAACAAATATTATATTTATTTATTTAAGTACCATCAGTTTAGAGGTCTACTTAAAAATAAAAAAAGCATATTATAAATCAACACAAAGTCAAAGCATGTATCAATAGGCACAATTTTAATAATAATTTAATAAAACCAATATGAATATTTTCACAAGAAAGGTATATCAAAATAAAATCAATTTCACTGTGATTGTTTACAAAAAAAAAAACACTCAATAAGAGAATTATATTAATGAATAAACATAACCTAAACGAAGAATAAATTTTTCATATTTTGAAATATATAAACCATACCTGAGCTTGTGCCTCTCTCGATAACTTTCTTAATAAGGATCCAATAAATGTACCACCAATGACTACCGAGGGTACACAGATTAATGTAAGGCCGGTGAGATGTGGTGAGATCACCAATAGACTCACCGCTGAACCCACTACCTAGAACAGAAATACATAAGTTTGATAACGGAATATTAATTAAAGATTGAAGAATAATTAGCTTTATAATATAATATGCTTTCATATATTCTTGTAATTATTAGTATATACAGGGTGACTGATGAATTACTATCGATATTTGAGGACGTGATATTTGACGATCATATATGACAAAATTAAAATTAATATAACATAAATATTAATAAACTTCTAAGTAAAGTTAACCAAAAGTTATGTAATTAATTACGCATCGTATGAACACCCTACAGATTAGGTATACACACACACTCACACATACGCGCGCGGCGGCGTGTTGTTGTATCAGCACGCCGCCGCACGCGTCCACACTTGGAACACTTGGAACGTGTCAACACTTTATTTATTTATACGGAAATTTGGTCAAAAATTAAGTACCTATTTTTTTTTACATAATTCGAATGAGAATCATGTACCGAGTATGGTCCTTAAATATTGATAGTAATTCACCAGTCACCCTGTATAAAAGTAATATATGAGAAAAAGAGACAGTTCTAAATTCAATTAATATTTTTTCAATGAAATTCAATGTAACTCACCTGAGTTATAGCTCTTAATCCTCCAGAGATAGTTTGCTTAAAGGAACTTTTGAAGTCTTGTACATCTACCGTTATTCTGTAAATGAGTTATATTAACATTAGTAATACAAATTAATTGATTTACATTATTTAACCAATTTATCAATGATAATAGTCAAACTTCTATCAAGTGATACTAATTTTGGAATTAATAAAGTACTCTATAACATTACTCTGTGTACCATTTTTAGTTAGTTATACTTTCAGGTGACTAGATTGTTGTCTAAATTTTCTTATATAAGCTTCTGAATCTACATACTGTACAATTATTCTTCTTTTTATTATTTGTTTGATGCCAGTCTTATTAGCTAGTCTCTTAATAAACTTACTTTTACCTTAATATTACAAGAATAAGTTAGTAACAAAATTGTCACCTATTGACTAGTTCTCCAGTTCTCTCTTGATCAAAAAATGCTATATCCTGTTGTAGGATTGACACAAACAAATCTTGCTTCATCTGTGCCGCAACCCGCTCCCCGACTTGTGCTAGAAGGTGGATGTATAGGAATGTGAATGCAGCCTGGAAATATACTTGAATTTACTTTCTGAACTAAGGAATTGGCCGCTTTAGTAGTTTATAGATGAGTTGTTTAACTGACAATCTTTTCTTGTTCTATACAATATGTATATTATTAACGTAATATGTATATTGGGATTAACATTATATTATATATAGTTGAACACCTTGTCCATTATAAATGTTCCATTGTCATTACCAGTGGCGGCTGTACCTTAAGTGCACTCATGCACTGAGCCACCAATTCAAAAGTTTTAAAAAATTACAAAATATTACTTCATTTTTATTTTAAAATTACCATTTTAATATTTATTTTTTAAACATAAAAACGTATAAAAAAATTAAGTTTTCTAATTATAGTCAAAAAGTTTGTGCGCTTTACTAAAGTAATATCTCGTGCGCTTCGGCGAGTGCACGAGGACTGCTAATACATCTTGTATGAGATACGAAATAATACGCCTGACGGGTAAAACAAAAGATAGTTCATAGAAATGTACCGAGTAATAAGTCGGTTCTCGAGCGCCGCACGAGCGGCCGAAGATTACCGAGAGCACCCGATGTATGATGAATTGAGCCATGATTGACATCTCATTATGTTTTGTTGCCTTTTCTAATTTTAATATTTTAGTAAAGTGCACCATCAGTTTTATAACCCACCAGCCGCCACTGGTCATTACTAATATTACTAAAGTAACTACTAGAAAATTTCAGTTTAATGTCAATAATACCACTAAATGCTTCACTCGCATTGTTTGTTTATGAAACTTAACCACAAACTTGTTTCTCACCTGTCCAATATATAATGATATGAGCTTCAAAGCAGGCAGCTTTATATCCTCAATGAAATCAATACTCGGATTAGATCTCATACTTGCAAGTATATTCACAATTACACCCAGCATGGCTGGAATGTACACATTCAGGAATGCAACCGCTAATGCTGACTGAAACAATATTGAAATAAAATAAAAACTTTCAAAAATGTTCTTATATATTATGAAAATGTTTCTTTTTAATAACAAATTTGAATATAAAAAATAATACTGTGATTAAAAGTACAATATTACCTGGTATGAACATAATGTCGGCAAGAATGATGTGTATGTTCAAAGATTATAGATAATATGTATACTTACAGCAACAGCAGCAGCTAGAAGCCATTTATGAGGCAAAAGATATTCCCAAAATCTCTTCCAGTCAAACTTTGAACTATCCTCATTATACTTTGGTCGACGCTGTATAATTCTAGATGGTAGAGCTTTACAAAATACTGAACTATTACTATATAAAAAACGTGCTGCTAACCCCAAACTAACGCCAGTACATAGCTTCCATGGACTGGTAAGTTGCAGTAAAGTACACTTGACATCAGTTTCCTTAACATTCTTCGCGTTTGAAAAGTATCTTTTAACAGCATCCGATGGTTTATTTTTGATTATATTAATAAAGTAACTATTACTTTTAACATTAATAAGCCTGAAAAATAAATTTTGCGTCAATATATTGTTGTATTGGAAGCGGTGTAAGTGTAGAATGTTAAATAATAATAAAAATAAGGCAAACCTTTGCCGCATTAATTGACATGATTGCATTTGCAATAACTGCCACATTTTTTTCTAATGTCCAGGTAAGCTTAACTATAAATATTTAGTCATAATTTCATTGATAAGAAAGATTTATGAGGGGAAAAAATTCAGTTACGTTAACATATTTTGTGTCATTCCCAGTCAAAATATAAAATGCGTTGCGTCAATGTCACCTTAACGTCACGAACAAATACTCGCACTAATAATTTACAGGTTCTTTTGACGAAAATTTGTTTATGCAAATATTTAACTTATTTAAATCATATGAATGGTTTTAAGTTGTGTTGATATAAAAAAAATTTAACAAGAAGTTATAACCAAAAATTCTATTTTACTAACCAGACAATTTACGGAAACATTCTTACTCTCCCCCTAATTTCTTCCTTTCCTCTTACAGTTCACTTTTATTAATATTCCATGTTATAACAATAATGCATGAACCCTTAACTTTAACTTAAAGTAACAGTAATTGTAAAAAACAAAAAAGCATAAAACTATAATTTAGAACATATATGTATTTATTGTAAAGTTAAAATTCATGTTCAAGAAAATTTTCTTTTTAAGGCGTAGCAGCTTCCACAAGCAGGTTTTCTCTTGAAATCCTGATTTATTTACAATAAAATAGGTAATAAAATGAATAAAACCTAGCTTGTAAAAATAACAGAAAAAAAATAAAACCAGTGTGCTTTAGACCACACTACTGAAGTAAAACTTCTTTTGCTCCATCTACACGCAATAAATATATGCATATGTTTATAAATGTATAATGAATATACATATACACATATTAAGTTTTTACAAATATTTGAATTCATTGTGGGTAATGTGGTAATTATTTTTTCAAATAGATATTTCTTTTTATTTATTATTTTGATTATATTCATCATCGGATACATCCGTAATTACTGTGGTTGATTGTAAGACCAAAACAATAGGTATTTATGAAAAATAAAATACATGTGTTTTCCAATGAAGGTTAGAAAGATATCTAGAGAAAATTCATGCACTGGCTATGAAAGGAAACTAGAAAGAAAATGTGGGCGCATTGCTTTCTCCCTTGCCCCTACAGTACCTAATGTACGAACCGTAACACTCTCTATCTATCTTCACTAACTTATATCTCAATCTCACTCTCATTCCCTCACCTGATCACAGTTTTCGTAACGCTTGTGTCACTCATTCACCAGCTTGCTCCCAAGTCAAGGTTGCGTAAAGAAGTTTTACTTCAAAAGAAATTTTTATTATTTTATGACAAATTTTATATAAAACCTTAAAACTTGAATTACTGGGTTAGAAATATAAATTGAAAGAAGTTACTCCTTTTAATTTAAATTGCTTGTGAGGATCAATATAAAACGGTACCTAATCATTAAACACGGAAACCTTCCACTTTCCCTTGAATTAATTAATTATTTTTTCTGTTTCTTCGACACTGTCAAATAAGAATAATAAATTATTTCGAAAAACACCCTGTTATAGCTTACTAAACTGAAAAGTAGAAAATAATGTGTCATTGCAAAGAGTTTCTATCAGAATAATAGTCAAACAAAGAAAAACGTGGGCTAGTTGATGTTTTGAATGTTGCAATCATCCTATTGGCTGCTATCTATAAGAGGAGAGTTAGGAAAATATAAAACCCCACGCACTTTACTCTGGGTTGAATTATTCCTTTAATAACTTAAACTTTATTACACTATGTGCTAGTTGATTTGACTGTTTACTTTCTCGTAGTGTATTGACATATATTTCGAATTATATCATGATCTAGTGAATTCATTTAAAGTTAGCTTTAGTATGTGGTTTTTTTTTTTTACTGTTAAACGAGAGCATTAAAGTTCGTCAACCCTTATCTATATATATCTATATACATAAGTATATAAAAATAAATTGCTGTTCGTTAACTCACTAAAACTCGAGAACTGCTGAACGGATTTATCTTATCTTAGTCTTGAAATGTTCGTGGAGGTTCAGGGAAGGTTTAAAAGCTGAAAAAAAATTATTAATTTCCGGGAAAACCCTAAAAACAGCCCCTTTCTATTTCCCATACAAACGTTTTTTTCACATTAGATTTGACATCTAACTAATATGTCACTCATTCTGTTCGATTGAAACAGGAAAAATTAATTAAATACCAATACCTGGTTATTTAAGACAGAATAGAGTTCGCCCGGTCAGCTATACATATACTTATTACTAATGACGAAATTAACGCGGATGATGTCGCGCGCAAAAACTAGTACCATATAAAGATCTAGTATGTTGAAATGCTACATAATCTTATTCAATAGCATACAGGAAAAAAATTAGGAATATTATATGTCTCATCGACTGAACAAATTTGCACCCTATCTACCTAACTCCATACGGAAAATATATACAAAAGAATTTATTAATCGTAGATGTCCTAATAAGGATAATATTATGTTATGATATATTATAATGTCATTGACCCTTATTAAGTATGAAAAGTTTCAAATTGATTGGTCTTTTGGTAATTGGTGAAAATTATGTTCAAAGATTCAGTTACATATAGACATAGATTGGTAGGTACAACCTAAGTTTAGAAAATCGTGTCAATATACATATATAGTTTGTTTTTCTCTATATAAACATAAAGGTTTTTATTGAATTATTTTCTTTCGTGCAATCCAAATATGAAACATTAAGAGATAACTCGATACTCATTATAAACTAATAATCTTACTTTTTTTTATTTTATTGACGCTACAAAGTGCCAAACTATTCAGCCCCCAGCGAACGGTGATTAAACCTAACCACCCTTTATTGTAATGCTATAATCCTTTTAAACCCCACAAATGGCCACTACAAATCGGCAATAAAGGCAACGAAGGCCATAAAATGTATTGCTGTTTGACCGCTCTACAGAAAATAAAATAGATATTCGGTATTTGGCTCTTGGCTTTATTAAATTTTATAAATTAATAATTATTGCAATCGCTTCATTACGTCTTTGAATTAGGCTATTCAGATATTATCTAAATATTTTGATGTGTTCTATATACATTACATATGTACATTTAAAAATTATTTAGTATCAAATTTAATTTTAATTATTTTACATATTTAATTAAATTAGGTAATATACAAATATTTTTTTATTTCCTATACTTTTTTGAGATTTTAAAAATATTTTTAAAAAATGCCAGTACATTTGTGATTTCTTTTAAAAGAATATGGATTGATATCTTATTTATTGTATCATTAAAAAATAATTAGATTATTTTTCCCAACACATTTTTTTATAGTATCATCAAAACGTCTCATAATTACATGAAAATAAGCAGGAGTTATCCAATTATAATTTATACTATAACATTTAATTCATTAATACTGTAAACATTTGCCTCTCATATCTCTATATTTCAACATGTAATAAGAAAGTACTATGTAACATATATTTTTTCAGTTAGTTTTAATATAAAACCTCGACCTCCGTAAAACATGTATGAATTTAAATACATAACAATTGAATCAGAAGTTCCACAATCACAGATGGTCGAGTAGCGCGTATGCACCCTGATTTTGGCGCCAATAAACCCATTGTTTAACTCAAGTGCTGCGAGTTTAACGCAATTATTTGTATATCGATGTTTTTTATTTGATTGTACGCCATTTAAAGTTTCGAAATGCAATCGTTTGATATTTTACAAGTGCTGTTAAACAAGTAAGAAAATAAGTTCGAAAAATATTTGGAGTTCATATCATTATACCTCAATATATACAAGTAGAATAATAATTAACTATAGCAAGGGAAAATAAGTTTTATCATTACTTAAACATGAAAATAATAATAATTATTATTATTGTTATAAACTTCTAATTGTACACAATACCGGACACCCCATAATCTATGAGATACGATTTAGTAAATCACAATACCAATAATGATCTATGTTTCCCACACTGACCACTGACATTGCTTGAATTAAAATTTTATAGTCATTTTCCAATAATAAATAATTATTAATATCAAAGGAATAAATCCTACTACAGTTACAAAGTCTCATTGTGCGTGTATTCGATAAACCGATGTAATAGCTACTAAATAGTTTGATACCAAATAGTAGCTTATTCAGTTTTAGACAGATATTAGAGTTTCATTTTAGGTACTCACATATATTAAGTAAAGTCATCATTCGATATAAGGAAATATTTGTGATTCATTTTTATTTTACATAAGGTCCAACCACAGTCGTATAATCTTTGTAACGAGACCTAAGTACTAGTCAAACAAATCCCTTCAGACTTTTTCTTGTTGTTAGGAACCAGCTTCAGAGTTCAGACTTTTAGTATCGTAAACCATACAAAGCTAAATAACAATATATAATTAAATTTTTGTGTCCATATCGTAAAAACCTTAAAAAAGTTTTAGTTTTTTCGTATCATAAATAACAACTAGGTATTATCTAAATAAACTACAGAATTTAAAATTTCGACTGTTAGTTATTCATATTTTCATACAACAATACAAATTCTATATATTTAAAATGTAATCATTGATTGAACCAAATCATTGAAAAGATATATTTTTTAGAATGTTTATAGAATAAAGGCGTATGCTGAACTGTAAACGCATATTTTATAACAGACTCTTAAGTATTTAAGCTACTTGTAAATTTGTGTGTTTTTTTACTCATTCAATTTCGATTGATTATAAGAAAAAACTATTAAACTGCACGTTTCAGTAAAAAAATAAATTCTAAAATCCCAGTGAGAATGCTTAGAAAACTTTTAAAATATTGTTCTTAATTTATTCAAAACTCCTTGTGACTCTCTTCAAATATGTTTTGCGAGCTTATAATTAAATAATAACACTTCTATTATTTAGACTATTCAGATGAAACCTTATAAAGTAACCCATTAACACTATATTTTATGTTGTTTTTAAAAAATATATAAACTCATTGATATAATATTCGTTATTCTTAAGTATATTTGTTCTTAAATGTTTAGAATCAGAATTACTTCACCAGATCCAGAGTATAAGACTTTCGCGAGTATTC